AGAGTTGAGGTTTTATTAATTAAATATTTGCAGTGGGAAGAAGTCAAGAAGAATATGTTCAGTGTCAGATGCGTTTTTTCAGTTTCCTGTTGTTACTTAAAATATATGCCCATTGTGGGGAGGAAGATGGGAGCCTAGACCTTACCTTTCCTTTCCTTTCTGCAGACGCAAGATTGCCAGAGCCTTCTGTTTGATATTGTTTCTCTCAAAAGAACTAAAGATTTTCCCCTCATCCCCTTCCACATTTTTTAAATATAATACCACAAAAACAAGGTCTTCGTTATTTGGTGGAAGGAAAAGTAATAGGCAGTTGCATTTGATATGTAAATCTGAGAGTTGGATTTGGAAAGTAGTTTTTAATATTCATTTTTCAGTAGAAATATCCTTGACAGAAACATTTTCAAGGTCTACTTTGCAACTAATGAGTCTGAGAGTGTTGCGCAGGCCTTGTTCAGCACATTGCTTTGATTTTTCCTGCTCCTTTTAAGCTGTCACTGGCATAGAAATCAATCTTACCACTATACCTTGTTTTCCATGGCTGTCATAATGCTGAAAACATGTATGATATAATGCATATCTTAGACCTCTCTGGCTTCTAGCTTTGCTCACCTTGTCCATCAAGAATGAATTCTACTTTAAAATTTGAAGTGACTGCAATCATAGTTTGAATTGGCAAGGTTAGAGCATTGCACAAAAGAAATAACGGATTTAATCCTCCATCAACACCAGAAAATTTAGTTTACCTCCCACATTCTCTCCTTACCAATGGCACCTTTATTTCAACAATAGTTAACGTTATAGATATATCAGAATAATGTTCCAATACCCAATGAGGCAAGTTTTCATACTTAAGATTCACTTTTCATCTCCCAGCTCTTTGTAGACATTAGCAAAACTTAAATGTAAGACATTTAGTTTTTATTCAATGAAACAGTCCTTGAACGTTCTTGACAATTTGTCTTAGGGATTCTGTTCTGAATTGGCATTTTTTGTATCCTTCTAGTGCCTTGTACTTTATAGCAAATAGAGTTTGGTATTACAATTCTTGTTTCCATAATTTTTCTTGGCAATAGCTTCTGTATAATGTGGTGAATGAGCCATAAGTGTGTTGTTGATAGGAAAGTTGGGCAAATAAATTAGTTTTAGAAGTAAATGTGTCTTCTACAGTCATATAACCCAAAGTATTGGAATAACCAGATTGTCTGAATAGCATAATGGAAAACTCAACCCTGGAAAGGAACTTTATTCAAAATAACTTCTAATAACTTTTATGTCTTTTTTTTTGCTTTGTTTTTTCAGCTGAGAGCCGTATATAGCTTTGTACCTCTGAATAAGCATGGAGAAAAAGAATAGAGTTAATTCAGAGTAAAAACAAACAAGGAGTTCAGGAAATAGGAACTTCTTCTGCAGATACTGCCTCTGGGTTAGATCATAACAAGATTGGTCATCCCTCAGATCATTCTAAGCTCTTTAAAATTTCAAAATAGGAAAACATACTTCAGCTCTGAAAGTCCCTGGTATCAGTACAGTATTGTCCTTTTGGTATAAGCAAAAAGGGTTCACAGGAGTGTTAAAAAAAAAAAAGCTGCCCCATTTTGTACCGGTTATAGCTTCTGTACACTCTTCAAAGATAGCTGTGGGAGAGCTTGTATATTACTTACCTAGTTCTTTAACAAAGGAGTTATCGGCAACCTATATCTAACTTACAAATCGATCATTTGTACTAGTTTTGTTATTTAGTCATGCAGTCGTAGCTCATGCATTGATCTAGGTAAATAGCCAAAAGGAGATTCATGTTGCTACACAAAATTGGACATGAAAGGAATACTTGTGAAGCAAGCCATTTCAAAGTGAAACAGAAAGATCCATCGTGGTTAGCAAAATCATTGCAGTCATAGGTTAAATGAAACGAGGGGAAGGAAAGTCTGAGTGCTCACGAATCTTTGCTGGTTTTTCTTTCTTCTTCACAAATAGCAAAAATAAGTTAGGTGTTTGAAGACTTAATTCCTGCATAATGAAGTAAGAGTAGCAGATTTTTAAATATATTTTTGAACCAGTAATGTGATGTTGCACATGTTTCCCTTGGGCCATGTTAAATGTTGAATTCTTAAAAGTTGTCTTAGGCACCCTTTTTTAAAAACCCAAAATAAGAAAGGCCCTCTTGTGGCCATGGAATTAAATGTAATGCTAGCATAGTGACATTATTTCTGCATTTGAATATTTCTGCACTGAAGTTTTTCTCTAGATAGTTGGAGATCTCTGGTTTAAATCAGTAACATTCAGGACAAGTTGCTTGATTTATATTAGTACATGATGTTATTAAGATACTTTCACTAGATTAGTCACTCTCCCGTTGATGACAGTAATGCGCATTTAAAAATACTTAACCCACAGTATACATGGGGAAGGAGTACAGATAATTTCTCTTGTAACAGACTTTAAATCCCACACTGTGTACCCTCTAAACATTTGTCTTTCCTTTCTCTCCGCAGCCCAGTGACTTTTCAGTATCTCTAAAGGCTTCAGGGAAGAACAAACATTTCAAGGTGCAGCTGGTGGACAATGTCTATTGCATCGGGCAGCGTCGATTTAATACTATGGATGAGTTGGTGGAACACTACAAAAAGGCTCCTATCTTCACCAGCGAGCACGGGGAGAAGTTATATCTCGTCAAAGCACTTCAGTGACGTTGAAGACGGACTAGGCCTGCTGGGGCCTTTTGTAACTTAAAAGCCTTAGGTCCTCAATCACTTTTATAGAGCAGAGCACTCCACACCAGACACAAATGTCAGTGAATGGTCTCTTTCTGAGTATTTGCTCTGTTGGTTATATTCTCTTTTTCTCCTAGCTTTTCTCTTTCCCCATTTTTGCCTATTAGTCTTTTTAAAAATTAAGTTGTTTTGAATCCCCTCAGGTTGAAAATTTCACTTAGGTGGCCATTGTAAGCTCTCGTTTTATTTCCTGGGTTCTTAACTCTTTTATGTACGTTTACAGAGTTAATCGAGATAAAGGAGGGGTGCTCTCAAGTTAAAACAGTGTTATCAGATGGCTCCTGATGGCAGAAATCATCATTGAGAGACTGGGCACAGTTTAATGCACTGAACCTGCAGCTAACTAAGTGAAATAATAGTAGACATAACAGTTGTGGCTGTGAGTTCTGTAGCTATTTTGCTTACCAAGTAGTATATTTCTGAAATTCCTAGTTTCTAGAAGCACTCTTCCCACACCCTACTTCAACTATTACATTGCTTCTTTGACTCTTTGTGAAGAGTACACTAACTAAAGCATTTTGTAATAGTTCTTCTTAAACTACTACGGTAAGATTGTAGTAAAGAAAACTATCTAGCGTATTTTGACATGTAATTTCAACCGAGATGTTTCATTGAAAGTTGATTACTTAGAGAATCATTGAATTGTAATGGTTGAATGTTTTGGTATCTACAACCAAATGTGCCATCCACATAATGCTTTCTCTTCTTGCCCTTCTGCTTGTTTGAATTAAACAGTTATGTATTTAATTCTTAAAGTAATATGTATGTGTAGCCGATTGACACTAATACAGAAGTTTAATAAACATAGCTAATTATGGGTGGGTGGGGCTTCCAGCACATACATACATACGTACATACATACATACTTATATATATATTTGCATTACAGAAAAAAAATCAGGGTTTACAGAAGGTGGTGTGATTGGTAGTAAGACACACAGAATGTTATATGAAGAAAATGCATTTGTTTTTTGTGTTTCTTTTAACCTTCTTATGGTTTTAAATATAGTATTGATGGCACATTCCTGAAAATATTAAAAGAAAAAAAAAGGACCTTGTTGATCCTGGAAACTTGCATACCTCCCCCATCCCACTTTTTTTTTTTTTGATATTGTAATAAAAAAAGGTATCATGTGAAGATGGAGTACTGAATTTATCCTTTGGTAATGGCATTGAGATTGGTTTAGCATGATAATATTTACCCTTTATATAAGTCTGAGCAAATATTTCATAGTTTTCCTTTGTGTAGGTAGCATGGATTTCATTAAGAGGCATTTTTTTAATGAATAATTTTTATTAAAAGAAAATTTACAAAGATTCTAAAAACTACAGAAACATAGAAGAAGAAATAGGAAAAGAAAAAGATTATAATAGGGTAAAAGAAAAAGTGAATAGCAAAAAAGCAAGAAGAAGTAAAATATCTAAAGAAACTACTTTTGGTCTTCTTTGCAGCAGTTACAAACATAGCAATTACCTTCTCCTTCTTCCTATAAACAAACCTTTTTAATCAATCCCAAAATCAGTAGTTCATTTTTATCCATTTTCACCAAAAGGTCTATAAAAGTGTTTACTAAAAGTAGTTGTAGTTCCCTCCTTAATCAAACAAGTGAATTTAGCCACTTCTGCAAACTCAGCCATCTTCACAATCCATTCCTCCATTATTGGTGTTTCTGTAGTCTTCCATCTTTGTGCACATAATAGCCTCGCTGCGGTTACCATATATAAAACAAATTGTCCATGAGCCTCTTCCAGTTGACTGTGCATAAGTCCTGATAAGAAAAGTTCCAGTTTCATCTGGTTTAATTTTTAAAACTCTCTGCATCACTATATGTATTTGTGTCCAATATCTTTTCGCTTTTTCAAAAGTCCACCATGCATGAAAAGATGTCCCTTCATGTTTTTCACATTTCCAATAGTGATTAGAAGTACCTTTATACATTTTAGACAATTTCTCTGGTGTCATATACCAACACTACATCATTTTTAAAAAGTTTTCTTTTAAATAGTAAGGCAATGTGAATTTCAGACCTTTTAACCACATTCTCTCCAATTGATCCATTTGAATATTATAACCAAAAGTCTTGGCCTATTTTACCATACATTCTTTAACTTGCTATTCCTTTGTTTAAAATCTCAACAACAGTTTATACATTTTAGCAATCACAAATGCATCATTTGTACATAATTCCTTTTCAAATTCCATTTTATCACATTCTCTTCCTGGTATGGAGAACCTTGTATTTAACCCTTGGTTTTTTTCCCCTGCCATATATATCTGGATATGTCTTTTTGCCACTGTTTAAATAGTGCATCAGTTCTCAAAACAGATATTGTCTGAAATAAAAACAGCATTTTAGGCAACACATTCATTTTTACCACAGAAATTCTTCCCAGCAATGACAATTGTAATTTTCCCCATCTTAATAAATCCTTCTTAATTTCATTCCATACTTGAAATAACATACAATTCATGTTAGTTATAATGATACCCAAATATTTAACTTTTTTCTCAATCTGAAAACCGGTTTTCACAGAAAACCCTTTCTGGTCTTCCATCTTCATGTTCTTTGTCAGCATCTTTGTTTTTTCCTTACTAATTTTAAATTCAGCCAATGCACCAAATTCTCTTAGTTTTTCCTCTAAAACATCTATCCCTCCTAAAGGCTTCTCCAAAATTAAAACCAAATCATTGGCCTATGCCCTTAGTTTATAAACTTTGTTTTTTAACTTTTTTAACTCCAGCAATTTTCTCATCTTGTTTTATGTCTCTATTCAAAACTTCAAGAGCCCGAATGAATAACAACAGAGCAAGTGGCCATCCCTGCCTCCTTCCTTTCTGTATTTTATAGGGCTTGGTCAATTCCCCATTCACAATCATTTGTGCCTTTTATGAAGTATATATTGATTTCACCCATGGAATAAAGTTCTTTCCAAAATCTGTATCTTCCAAAATTTTAAACAGAAAAGTCCATTTTAAATTGTCAAAAGCTTTCTCTGTGTCAAGAAATATTAAGGCAGCTTGTTTTTCATTGTGTTGCTCCAGGTACTCTAATACATTAAGAACATTTCTAATATTGCCTCTTAAGTGTCTCTTAGGTAAAAAACCACATTGGTCTTCATGGATAAAATCTTGTAAAACATTTTTCAGCCTTTCAGCTGAAATTGTCATGAATATCTTACAGTCATTATTCAGTAGTGATATTGGCCTGTCATTTTTTGCCAAAGTCAAATCCTGTCCTCCTTTAGGAATCAGTGCTATATGTGCCCTTGTCTGTCTATCTGGTATCTATCCGGTATCTGTCCATTATCTAAAATAGAGTTAATATTTTTTTTTCAAAGGTAATAAAAGCTCTTTTATTCAAATATTTATAATAGGAAGCTGTAATCCATCTGGACCAGGAGCTGTATCTTTATTCATCATCTCTATAGCATCACAAATGTCCCTTTTATTGGGCCATTCATCATTCGTCTTTGGGCATCTGTTAAATTTGGGAGGTTTTGTTTCTTTAAATATTCCTCTGCCCTTGCCAGTGAAATTTTTTCTCTCTCATATAGCATTGTATAGTACTGTTTTCTTTGAATACTTACATGATCATTCACCATAGTTTTCTCGTTTTGTAATTTTAATATTTTCTTTTTCTTCTCCTTTCTCGGTCTATAAGCCAGCCATTTCCCTGGCTTATTTGCTGACTCAAAATTTAACAAAATTCAATTTTATTTCCATCTCTCTCAAAATTAACAGAGAAAGTTGAGGCTGTAGAAGTTTAATTTGCTATGAGATATTTTCTTTCCCTGGAGATCTCATTACTTCATCCTCTTTTATCTTTCTATCCCTTTGACTCTTTTGCATATTTTCTTGTCTTTTTTTGTTCAGTTTGGTCTACTGTATAAATTGTCCTCGCATGAATGCTTTACTGGCACCCCATCCTTTTTTTTTATATCAGTACCCCGATTGAGATTATTCTAAAAAAATCTTCAAGATTCTTTTTACATTCTTCCACTATTCACATTGTAGTAATATTTCATTTAATCTTCATCTATCTTCATAAATTCTAGCTTCCTTCTTGTATATTAAAGTCGCTGGATTATAGTCAGAAGGTATTTGGCAATATTTCAATTTTGTTAACACAAGTGGACAAACTTTTGGAAATCCAAAACATGTCTGTTCTGGAAAAAGATCTATGTCTTTCTGAAAAATAAGTAAATTCTTTAGAATTGCCACTTTTATTTATTTATTTATATCTATTTCAAATTTGGTCCCCGCCCATCTCACTAAAGGGCAACTGTCTCCATGTATCAATCAATTCAAGATTATCCATCATTTTGAAGAATATTTTTGATGGTTTGCATCATTTTACTCTCTTGCTGACGTTCTATCTTGCTGTGGACAAACTGTTCCATTCCATCTTTCCATTAGGCACCAATTTTCATATGACAGCTCCATTAACTTTCTCACAAGCCCATTGAAAAATGCAGATTTATTTTTGTTTGGAGCATAAATAGGCATATGTTTTTTTCAGTGTTTGACTAGTGACTTGGTTTTTAGCATTTGAAATTTAATTCCATGCTGTTGCTGGAACTTTGACAGCCATTATGGCTAGATCGAATACTGAAAGGATTATCACTATGGCAGGTTTTGCATTTTTAAAGTCATGTTTGTATTGACCTGTACACAGTGGATACAGCAGGACAATGGGGAAGATACTTTCTCAAGACTATTAAAAATCCTTGTGTGGTGGCTTAAAAGGATGGATGAGTATCCATGGCCATTAACGTATTAGGTAAAGAAAATCCTTTTTTTTAGAGATGGAACCTTTGAATACCATGTACCGGGGATGTTGTAATCTTCAAGAACCGGCCCACCCCATGGTGGATTTTCTAGAGACATTTGATTGGCCATTTAGTAGATAAGATGCTAGATTGGATGAACTTTTGAATGATTTAGCAGAGTTAGCTTTACATTCCTATGGTACAGTTCTCTGGAGTCACACAATCGTAATAACTCTCCTTTACGTTGTCTTTAAGCACATTAAAGCAAAATAATCCTGAATCACTTGCACTGATACTAATAGAACTATTCTGTAGTTAAATGGTGCTCACTTTTGCAGTCTTTGGCTTCAATAGTGTTAAATAACTTTAAATCCAAGTCTGTACACTCTCTTTAGTTTATGTGCCACAGCTATTAACGTGTTCCAATTGCCAATAGTCTGGAACTAAGATATTTTAAAGCCAGCTAAGGAAGTGATTCCATTATTCTAATATCCTGTCTTAACAGAAGCTGGCGGCAGACACTCAAGAATCTGTTGGCAAAAGTTAAACTTTTGTTCAGAGGCAAGTTTCTTTTCAATCTCCGCCAGTTAATGTGTACCTTAAATTCAACGCGTAGACATTTTATTTACAATGAGTTCAGCTCATCTAATCTAACTGGATTGTCTCATCACTGAAGGTACTAATACTTTTTCATCTTGCTTAGTTCTTGCCTTTCATATGGTGACCAGTCTTCAGCTGAAGGCCGTTCGCTGTGGCCTTTAAAAAAGAACCTCATGTTTTGAATGCCATTGCCATTACACTTGTATGTTTTTATTGTATTTTGGCTGTGGGAGATAATCCGAAGCATCTAAAATTCTTTTCAGAGTGCCATTCAAAATTGATTTTTGAATAGAAGCTCTACTAATGTTTATGAATAAATTGCATGACCCACCAGGTTCATTTTTGTTTGATTGCTGTTTTGTTTTGACCATTGAGCTTCATTTTAGTGTAGTTTTGTGGTTCCTGATTAATTGTGCTCAATACTTTTAAGGAATCCTGTGTTTATTTCAGTACAACCAAATATTATTTTCCTTTTTTGCTTTTGCTAAAATGTGCTGATTAAAATCTTAAAAGTGAGAATTATTTTTTTTTCTTGGATGATTGATAGTTTTAATTTACTTCAGATGCAAAAGAAATGGGTTGAGTAATCCCTTCCAATGGGTACTATCTTGATTATGTCATAAAAGTAGAATTTCAAATGTGCCCAATCTTTCTGGAATTCCTTATTTTAGGTGAGTTTATCTAAGA